ACCAGGAAAACACTGTACACAGTAGCAGCAACATTGTTCGGTGATCAACTATGAATGACTCAGCTCTTCTCAGCAACATAGTGATCCAGGACAAGTATAAAGGACTCATGAAGGAAAATGCTGTCCACATCCAGATAAAGAACCGATAGACTCTGAATGCAGATCGAAGTATCTTTTTTTTTCCACTTACTTTATTTTTTTGTTTTTTTTCTTTTGATGTTTCTTCTTCCACAACTATGATTAATACAGAAATGTGTTTCACATGATAGCACATGTATAAACTATATCAAATTACCTACTATTTTAGGAAGAGAAGAGGGAGGGAAAAAAATTTGGAACTCAAAATTTTGTAAAAATTAATGTTAAAAATTATCTTGATGTGTAATTTGGAAAACAATAATATTTATAAAATTTTAAAAAATAAATGTAATGGCACAAATGAAGGAGGGCTGAGGGGATCATCTGTGAATTTTACCAATGTGTACTATGATTAGTATTAAGAGATCTTTAACACCAGTATTGTCCCAACAAAGCTATATGTCTGTGAATCCCAGCATGCCACAGAATCAGTAGAATTAAAATGGCAGGAGCCAAGATGGTGGAGTGAAAGCAGCAACTTGCTTGAGCTCTCCCCCAAACCCCTCCAAATACCTATAAAAATGCTCTAAACAAATTCTAAGGCAGCATAACCCACAAAAAGACAGAGTGAAACACATTTCCAGCCCAACACAACCTGGATGATTGATCAGAAAGGTATATCCTGCCAGGCTGGGAGTGGAGTGCAGCGTGGCTTGGGCACGCAGGAGGCAGCAAACCTGGAGCAGGCCTCAGAGGACTGAATTGCAGGCAGCTGTGGCAGTTTCCAGACTCCTCAATCCACAAATGCCAAAGACAACTTAGAAGGTTACTGGGAAAAGTCTGTTTCTGCGGTGCTGAGAGAGGAAGGCAGGGTCTCAGATCCAGTTCCCCAAGAATGCGGCCCTGGGGTGGGCAGCTGCTTCCTGAGCTTCCAGCCCACAGACTGAGGGGCAATCCAGTGGCTGATTACAGGGGGATTTCAGGGATCTCTCTGCTGGTGCTGAGGCAGGAATCTCTTGCTTTGCCCATGCTTGGATCTGGGTCACAGTTCTGGAAGGGGGTCCTGGGGTGAGGAAGAGCACTGGCACGGTGAAGCTTGTAGTGGCTGTGGACAGGAAACCTTCCTCACAGTTCCAGGACAGAAAGGAGTGCTTGTGGTCACTAATAGGCCACAGCACAGGCCAGGAAAGGAGTAAACACCTCACCCTTTATCATACCACCTTGCAAGAACTGAAAATTTACGAGTCCCTACAAGTGTCTCTGAAAACAGCTATATAAACCCCCAAAATCTGGGATAGTACATTCTCCACATTGGAAGTAGACTCTTACCTTAACATAGAGTTTAAAACTCAAGTAACTGGCCAGGATCATGAGCTAACCTCGCAAAAAGAGTCAGACTATATTATCTTACTTTGGCAATAAAGAAGATCAAAATATACAACCAGAAGAAGACAACAAAGTCAAAGCTACATCCAAAGCCTCCAAGAAAAATATGAATCAGTCCCAGGCCTTGGAAGAGCTCAAAAGGGATTTTGAGAAGCAAGTAAGGAAGTAGAGGAAAAGAGAAATGAGAGTGATGCAAGAAAATCATGAAAAACAAGTCAACAGCTTGCTAAAGGAGACCCAAAAAATACTGAAGAAAATAACACCTTAAAAAATAGCCTAACCAAATGGCAAAAGAGGTCCAAAAAGTGAGGAGAAGAATGCCCTAAAAAGAAAAATTGGCCAAATGGAAAAGGAAGTCCAAAAGATTACTGAAGAAAATACTTCCTTAAAAATTAGAATAGAGCAATTGGAGCTAGTGACTTTATGAGAAATCAAGACACTGTAAAACAAATCCAAAAGAATGAAAAATAGAAGAGAATGTGAAATATCTCATTGGAAAAACAACTGACCTGGAAAATAGATCCAGGAGAGAGAATTTAAAAATTATTGGACTATCTGAAAGCCATGATCAAAAAAAGAGCCTAGACATCATCTTTCAAGAAATTATCAAGGAAAACTGCCCTGATATATTAGAACCAGAGGGCAAAATAGAAATTGAAAGAATCCACTGATCTCCTCCTGAAAGAGATCCCCAAAGGAAAACTCCTAGGAATATTGTAGCCAAATTCCAGAGTTCCCAGGTCAAGGAGAAAATATTACAAGCTGCCAGAAGAAATTCAAGTACTGTGGAAACACAATCAGGATAACACAAGATTTAGCAGCTTCTACATTAAAGGACCACAGGGCATGGAATATAATATTCCGGAGGGCAAAGGAGATAGGATTACAACCAAGAATCACCTACCCAGCAAAACTGAGTATAATCCTTCAGGGGAAAAAATGGTCATTCAGTGAAATAGAGGACTTTCAAGCATTCTTGATGAAAAGACCAGAGCTGAATAGAAAATTTGACTTTCAAATACAAGACTCAAGTGGAACATGAAGAGGTAAACAGGAAAGAGAAATCATAAGAGACTTATTAAGGTTGAACTGTTTACATTCCTGCATGGAAAGATGATATTTATAACTCATGAGACCTTTGTCAGTATTAGGGTAGTTGGAGGAAAAAAATTATATGTTGTATGTATGTAGATAGATAGATAGATAGATAGATAGAGAGAGAGAGAGAGAGAGAGAGAGATAGATAGAGAGGACAGGGTGAGTTGAAGATTAAGGGGTCATATCTGGAGAATAAAATTAAGGGATGAGAGGATTATATTGGAGAAGAAGAAAGGGAGAGGTAGAATGGGGTAAATTATCTCACAAAAAAAAACAGAAAAGAAAATGTCTTACAGTGGAGGGGAAATGGGGAAGGTGAGAGGGAATGAGTGAATCTTATTCTCATAGGATTTGGCTGAAGGAGGGAATAACATACACATTCAATTGGGTAAGGAAATCTGTCTTACCCTATGGAAAATAGGGGGAAGGGGACAAGAGCAGGGGGATGATAGAGAGGAGGGCAGATTGGGAAAGGGGTAATCAGAAGCAAATACTTCTGAGGAGGGACAGGGTCAAAAGAAAGAATAGAATAAATGGGAGGGCAGGATAGGATTAAGGGAAATAGAGTTAGTTTTTCACAACATGTCTACTATGGAAGTGTTTTGCATAACTGCACATGTATAACCTATATTGAGTTGCTTGCCTTTTCAATGAGGGTGGGTGGGGAGGGAGGAAGAAAGATTTGAAACCTAAAGTTTTAAAATATGTTTAAAAAAATGTTTTCACATGCTACTGGGAAATAAGAAATACAGGAAATGGGGTAGAAGTCTGTCCTGCCCTACAGGAAAATAGAAGGGGAAGGGGATAAGAGAAGGGGGAAGAGATAGAAGAGAGGACAGATAGGGGAAGGGATATTCAGAATGCATGCCATCTTGGGGTGGGGGAGGGGTGAGATGGGGTGAAAATTTGGAACTCAAATCTTGTGAAGTAATATTGAAAACTGAAAATAAATAAATTTTTTATATATATATGTTATATATGTATATTATATATTTATATATATATTATATATAATTATTATATATATATAAAGAATTAAAATGGCAGAATAACTCAAAGGGCAATAAAAACATGCATGATACAGTGACCAAGTCTTGGTCTGGAATAATTTTCCTCCTCGGAATGGAGGATCTGGGAACGACAGTTGTGGGATGCAGTCACACTTTCAGAGGAGGTCATTTCTGTTGGTCTATTTTGCTTAACTCTGTTTCTTTGTTACAATGGAGAGAGTTCAATGGCAGGATGTAAAGAGTACACGATAGGAAATGATTGTGATCTTATGATCCTCCAATCAAGCGATCTCTATCTCCATCTCTTCAGATATAGACATATACATCTATATCTACAGACATATTTTGTTGTTTGATCATTTTTTTTCAGTCCTGTCCAACTCTTTGCGACTCCATTTGGGGTTTTCTTGGAAAAGATACTGAAGTGGCTTGCCATTTCCTTCTCCAGATCATTTGACAGATAAGGAAATTGTGGTAAATAGGGTTAAGTGACTTGGCTACAAACATACAGCTAGTAAGTATCTGAGGCCTGATTCGAATTCACAAAGATGAGTCTTCCTGGTTCCAGGCCTAGCACTCTATCCACCCCACCACCTAGCCGCCTACATATAGATAGATACATATGAAACACACATATACACACACACACATATACACATAGATACATGTATAGATAGATCTATTAGTATACATAGTATATATTTATTAGTATAAGCAGGCTGAATCATATTATTTGTGTGTGCAAAGTAGCATAAAAGACATGGACAAAGCGGGTATGACTAAAAAAGCCTATGGGTCATTTATGTATCAGGAGTGAAAGGCAAAAGAGGGACAGATGGAGTGGTTCCCCTGGGTTTCTATCACAGGGGTACTAAGTCTCTAACATGTTAGGTCTGTTCTTTGTGGAACAGTTGTATGATAATAACATCACAGATCTAAATCTAGACTACATCAAAGGCCAGAGTCTAATTCCCTCATCTCACAGATGAAAAAACTAAGGCCCACAGAGAATTAAAGATTTACTCAATGTCACACAAGGTAGGAAGTATCAGAGGCAAGATTTGAACCCAGTCCTTGACTCCACAGATAGGGCTGTCTCTTTAAGCTATGGAAGGATTTCCACACACATCAGGAGAGGGCGTATACACAATTATGTAATTACCATTCTCCAGAAGTACCAAAGAAAAGTATAATACCCTTATCTCCCATTACCATTGAACATTGTGTGGATTAGAAAAGGCTTTTTTGTATGTGACTTGGCTATGTATCGCATCCTCCTATATGCACACCTTTTTCCAGGCTAAGGAGGAAATCACAAGAGAAATACTTGGCAAGGTTGCCTCTGTGGTTTGGCATAATTCCACTTTAACCCAATCAAGTTCTGACTAGTGATGTTTCCCCAGAGCCAAAGACAATGATCAATGGAACCTTTTTCAGCAGGAAGGCTGCCAACACCATTCAGATGACTATTCTGCTCATTTACGGGGTGTTTGCTCTGGGCCAGGATGGCTTCAACATTGCTGACTTTACAGCCAATTCCACACCCAGGGACAGCTTGGAAGTCCATGCAGTACCCCAGGGTTTCAGTTCCAAGTTCCTGTGAAAGAAGGTTGAGATGGAGAAAAAGAAATAGAGTCAGGTGGAAGAAAGTGATGGATAGAGAATAATGTCAAGTATTGATAAACCTTACCTAAAAAATATAACTTAAATCAGGTTTCTGAATGAATGAGTTTCTACACAAATAAGATTTTAAAGTGTTTCCTGTTAAATTGCCCATGATAATTTTCAGTGTTTACTGATCATATCATTCAGGCTGTTCTAACTGTCTCTGTCAATGTCTTTAGGGGGATCTACTACTACCTTCACCATCACGTTCAAGATGTCAGAGAGAAAAAAAAAATCAATAGGGCCTCCCAGCCAAAGAAATATATGTAGTTGAATCAATGCCAAGGCTGAAAATCTTGGACAAACAGATGCTAATTCTTATTTGCCAAAAAATACCTTTGACATTTAGCTGAATTTTATAGGGTCTTCTCCACTATCTTTGTGAAAATTGGCCATACACTCTCTGGTGGGCATGAGGCACCTCCAACTTACAAGGCATATCCCTGCTTAGAAGGCAGTGGTGTTGTGTAGAGGACAGAAAGAATATTGGCTTTGAAGTCAAGAAATGCTAGGTTCAAGTTCTAACTCTGATGCATGTTGGCTATGTGACCCCAGGAAAGTGATTTAACCTCTCGGTGCCTGGGAAACTCTCTGAGACTTCAAGCTACAGAACAGGTGCTCATCTGTATTGGTAGAATGAAAGCTGTCTATTAATGAAATTACAGGTCCAATCGACACAAAAAATTCCTGTTCACAGACTAGCCAGGAACTCTTTGGCTCCGTAGTGGAATCGAATGATCACTGCACTTGGTTATAGAATGCAATAGACATGTAATAAAGGTTCCAGGAAGCCTCGCCTACCAAGGCACTGAAGATGAAAGAAGAGGACAGGGGCTGGGATATTCCATAACCTGCGTACCTACCTCTTTACAGTACTTAGTGACAGCCACACCCAGGGGATGCTCACTGCTAGCTTCAGCAGTGCCAACCACAGCCAGAACCTTCCTCAGTGGTAGGGAAACCATGTCAACCAGCAGAAGAACTCTCATGACTTTGGGGACACCATAGGTGATGGTCCCAGTCTTGTCAAACATCACCGTCTTGATCTGCCAAAAATAAAACAGCATTGGAAGGATGCTAACTGTGAGTGGTGAGTGTAAGTGTGAGTGAGTGAGAGAGTACTAATTTGGAATCAGGGCCCCAGGATTAAGCCCTGCCTCTGTCTCCTGCTATCTGTGTGATCCTTCAGTGAGTTGTGTAACTCTTCTAGCTCTCAATCTATAAAATGAGGGGGTTGGACTAGGGTCCCTTCCAATTAGTTCTAAACCTACAACCAATTGTATGTGATCCTGTGTTCCACTGCCAGAATCAAACGGTCAGAAGGGGCATTCGGAGGTCATGTCACACAGTCTCCTGTCTCTTGGTAGAACCAGCAATATCTAAGTCATCTCAGGCAAATGCCATTTAAAAAGATCCACAAAGAAAAAGATTTTACACCTCCTGGTAAAACCAAATCTCACTACTAGAAATTTATTCCAGTGTCTTCCTACCAAAGCCAGGATTGAAGCATGGGCAAGGTTGCCTAGGATATAATATACAGGTAAAGCCTAGAGGAACACTCATGTGTTGACTTTCATACACAAACGTAATTCTGACACTAGAAAATTCTATTTCTTAGAGCATATTTTCATTTTGTGATAAGCCAAGTTATGTGTTTCAGAAACTCCCAGTAACACACAAGAGGCAGAGTGATGTTCAAACCTTAACTAAGGGCACACAAATGCCTTGACGCAGATAGCTGAGCATTTGGTGCTGCTGCTTAGAATTGTTGGGAGTAGAAACAAAGACTGGTTATTAGCCTCCCTTTGTATGATAACACAGGGGCTAAGGCCACCTAATATTGGATTCAGGGGCCCAGGATTACAAGGATGAGAATGAGGACAGGGATGGGGAGGTCTGACAATGGGAAGAGTTTAAATACTCAAGAGTATTGTTGCTTTGTGGTCTTGCCCAGATCACACTACCGTGGAACTATCAATAGTGTTGCAGGGGAGGCGTCTGTCTCAGTAAAAGGCAATAGGCAGTCATTCTAAAATGGGTTTCAGAACTTCAGAGCCAGAAGGGACTTCAGAGGGCACCCTGCCATCTTGTCCAACCTGTACGTGTACTTGAACTGAGCAGCTTAGCTTTCTCAATGACACATTATGATTTTATGATGGATGAGCTTTATCCTGACAATACCTGAGGATATACATCATTGTTTCTGGGGAGTGCAAACAGCTGCTTCCTCCTCAAGAGAGTCCAATTCTTGTCTCTCAAGGAAGACCCCCTAAATCCAAATCCATTTTTTTTTAAACCCTTGGCGAGGCAAGGTGAGGGGGCAGTGAGCACACGTACCCTGTGTGCCATTTCGAGAGGCTTTCCTCCTTTGATGAGAATCCCATTTTGGGCAGCCACCCCTGTTCCAACCATTACTGCTGTTGGTGTAGCCAAGCCCAGAGAGCAAGGACAGGCAATGCACAGTACCGTGATGGACGTCTGAAATGCAAACCGAATGATCACTTCTGCCTGAGAGATATGTTTGTTAGCATTCTGAAAAGTGAAGAAGAGAAAAAGCAGGTTGAGATTCAGGCAAGAAGGCTCACAAAATTCTGAAATTGAAAGGAAATATTGAAAGAGTAGACCCCTAATCTTGTTATGAGCTGGGATTCAGGGAAATTGCATTCTAATTTTGTTCTTCCCTGACTGGGTAGTTCCAGGCAAATCATTTAATTGGTTCATAGCTCAATTTTTCTATCTACAAAAACTGAATATCCCTACTGATTTTCCTCAAAGAAATAGTTTGGGGGGAAAGCCTAGTTAATAAATGTTCTACGCTGTAACTCAAAAAATTGGAAATGTATTTTAAAAAATCCAAAATGCTTCTAGTGGCAATTAATGATTTCACATACTCTTTTTTCTGTTCTTTGTATCAGAAAAGAGTTTGTGTTCATTGATTTTTGTCACATTCACAATAATAAAAAGGAAATTTTAATTTTAAAAGTGATATATAGCCACCCAATAATGTTTTATGACAATCTGAGTATCTTAACATGAATTAAAAGTCCCTGGATTAAGTTGGCTTGTGTTTTAGTGTTCTAAAAACCTTGAGATTTATGATAATAAAGAAATATTTCTTTCATTCAAGACCCAATAAAAAACACCTTTCCTGAATAAAAAATATCGCAACACAATTTCCTATTTCTGGCCCTACTGCATTAGATGAATGTGAGATATGGGCTTCATTTATAAAAAACAATGATAGGGATAAGGACAGGACTTGTGACTCTATTATTAGTATAGGGAATTCCCAGGTGAGAAAACTCTTTCTACCAATGCATGCTGACACTTTCTGTGCAATCTACAATCTTAGAGTTACCTACAGCAAAGGAATCAAACATTCAGCCTACTGGCCACAACATTCTCAAGTGTACCCCAACCAGATTAAAATGTAATAGGGAAATATTTAACAAAATAAATAAAAATACAATAAAACACAATGTTAAAATGTGGCTTTCTAAGTTAACATACAGCCACAGGGATCCTTATATATTGTTTAGTGGCTCCTATTTCTATCTGAGTTTGACTCCACTGGCCTAGAACTTATGATGTCACTGATATCACCCTTTATGTCTAAATCACGTACCCATTTTGACCTTATCTTGATATACAGTGTGAGATGTTGGTCTTTGCCTCATTTCTGTGAAATCGCTTTCCAGTTTTCCTAATAATTTTTGTCAAATGTTGAGTTCTTGCCCCTAGAACTTGGATCTTTGGGTTTATCAAACACTAGATTACTATGGTCATTTACTATTGTGTATTGAGTACCTAATTTATTTCATTGATCCACCAGTCTATTTCTTAGCCAGTACCAGATTGTTAGGGAGCATGGAAAAATTACCTATGATGGAAGAGTTCATGACCAAACAAGAGATAGAAAGGAAATGAAATGGATAATTTTGATCACAGTACAGCCAAAATTAAAAGGAAAGGGAAAAAATATTAAAGTAAGTTTCTCTGATTAAGGCCTCATTTCTCAAATATATAGAGAACTGAGCCAAATTTATAAAAATAAGAGTCATTCCTCAGTTTGATAAATGGTCAAAGGATACAAACAGGTAGTAAATAAAGTTATCAAAGCTATCAATAATCATTGATAAATTACTCTAAATTACTACTGATTAAAGAAATGCAAATTAAAAGAACTTTGAGGTACCACATCACACCTATCAGATTGGCTAACTGGCTAACAGAAAAGCAGAATGACAAATGCTGGAGGGGATGTGAAAAAATAGGTGCACTAATATACTATGGTAGAGCCGTGAACTAGTCCAATCATTCTGGAGAACAATTTGGAACTATGTCCAAAGGGCTATAAAACTGTGCGTACCTTTGACCCAGCAATACAACTACTAGGTATGTATTCCAAAGAGATCTAAAAACAGGGAAAAGGATCTATTTGCACACAAATATTTATAGCAGCTCCTCTTGCAGTAGGCAAAGAATTGGAAACTGAGGGGATTGCTCATCAATTGGAGAACGGCTGAATAAGTCATGGTATATGACAGTGGTAGAATACTCTTGTGCTATAAGAAATGACAAGCAGGATGAAAAATCTTGGAAGACTTATATGAACTGATGCAGAATGAAGTGAACAGTAACAGCAATATTGTAAGGATGATCAACTGTGAAAAGCTCAGTTACTTTGATCAAGATGAGCCAAGATAATTCGAAAGGACCCAGGATGAAAAATGCTATTTATTTCCAGAAAGAGAACTGATGACCTCTGAGTGCAGATTGAAGCACTTTTAAAATTTTTCTTGCTGGGTTTTTTGGGTTTTTTTTCTTCTCCCCAACATAGCTAATATAGAAATATGTTTTGCAAGACATCACATCTATAATTGATATATTATTTGCCTTTTCAATGAGTAGGGGAGGAACAGGAGGGAGAGATTTTAGAACTCAAAATTTTTAAAAATGAGTGTGAAAAAATTTTAATTAAATTAAATATTTCTGTTTCTATAAAGTTTTCAAATTTGTAATTTTAAAAATCAGGCAGAAAGATCCAGCTAGTTCTTAAGCCACTCTAGCTATTAGTATTAAAATCCAATGGCCCACACCTCTTTGGTGCAAATCCACATTCAAGCTACTAGGATTCAACAGAACCCTGGGAAATAATATGAATTATGCACCTTGGAAACAATTCTCACAGAGCAAAGTTATAGCAATACACAGTACTTCATTTGTTAGCTCCTCTATGATTTTTCGGTTTAAAAAAAAAGTCCAAATATAAAATGAAGAAGCATGGAACATCAGAAATCCAATAAAATCACATAGTTGTCATGACTGAATTTTAACAAAAGGGTAAATTGAGGCAGATCTCTGAGCAAGATAACATTTATTAGCAGGGGCATGTTACCTGCTGATAAATGGGTCAATGGATTGCCTCCATTAATGCCAAAGACCTCAAGCAAGAGGACAGTTTCTCTTATATAGCTTTTGGGGAGTACAGAGCAGAGCAGAGTAGATAACAACATGGAATTGAAGGCAACATGACTGGTTATGGAACTGAGGCATAGGAACAACATGATTGGTTGGAAGTTTGGTAATGAGGACTAGCAGCAACTCCTCTTCTGTCATGAGACTATGAAGCACTCATTGTCCGAGTGCAGGTGAGAGATGACAGTACAGACTTTTGGGCAGCAAACCAGATATCCCTGAAGGACAGTGGCGAGGCATAAAGATATCCAGCCCAAACTCCCTTGATTCCTCACACATTTTCCAAAGTCAGTTAAATTCCTTGAGGCAAGAGAGCTGGATTTTAAACTTAACTCATTACAGGCCAGCTAAACTCTGAACTAAGTTCAGAGACAAAGAACCATGACTTAAGCAGTTTCAGGACAAAAATCAATTAACTGTAAATATGATCAATAAGATCATATATAGGATCAATCTTAATCTTCTCATGGTCCAACTTTTCATTTTAGAATAAAACTTTTTTTCTTACTAGATGACTCCACTTGTCCTTCCCAGCCCCTAAAGCCTCAGCTTTTGAAGGAAATCAAGTTAACTAACTCCAGGCATTACTATGAATTAATTAATGTGAGTTTTTGTACCAACAGCTAGGATATTTGAGTTTTTAAATACTAGGCTACTGCTCATTTGCTTCTGTGTATTGTGCACCTAATCTTCTATTGATCAACATATTTTTTTAACTAGTATTAAAACTGTTTTGATGATTACTGGTTTGTAATATAGTTTGAGATCTGGCACTTTTAGGTCCCCTTACTTCTTACTCCAAAGGAGTATTTATATTTTGCTTTTGTCACTAAAGAAGTGCAACTTGATGCTAGAAAAAGCTTTATTAGGATATCTGTTTGTTTCAAGCTGAAGTACTATTTTCAAAGAAAGACTACATGGAATAGTGCATAGAGAAATGGCCTAGAGGCCAAAGAAGAAATGGGTTTAATTGCCTCCTATAACACATATTGGCTATGAGACCCTGGGAAAGTCACTAAACCTCTCACTACTGTAGGGAACCTAAAACTATACTTTTGGAGGAGATGCAGACCAGCAGCAGTAGTAGATGGAGTTTTCCTAGACCACTGAAATCCCAGGTCTAGTTTCTATCCCTATTACTTTCAAATAAGAAATGACATCTTAATTGTCAATACATGTTCTGTGAATCCCTCTGAGGGAATCAGTGAGGGGGAAATAAAGTGTAGCTTCCTAAACTCTAGACCTATGACAAAAGGCTAACAAGTATTAGATTGTTCCAGATAAGAGAAATCAAAGTTAAAAATAAAACAAAAGCAGCTAAAAATATTGCTTGTCACACTTACTTTGCCCTTATTATATGATGCTTTTTATGTTAATTTTTAAAGTCAATTTTTCTTATTTTCCCAAATGGACAATAAGCTCCTTTAGTGAAGAAGGGCTGGTGATTTGCTTGTCTTTGTATTCCTGATAGCCCTAATCACAGTGCCTTAAACATAGTAGGTACTCAACAAAAGTGATCAATACACTCAGGCAAGTAGGATGGGAGTCCCTCCACATTCAAAACTAAGCTCCTAAAGGCACAATATTAGAATAATAAGAAAGCAATTTGTTTTGACAGTAATCACAATGGAGAGCACACAGCAATGGTGGCCATGTTCAATCAGAAGCATCCCGATCACTCTGCATTTGTATGGCAAAAAAATGAAATAAGCAAATACAATGAATGTAATGGATAATGAAAGCCTGATGACTCTGGGCCCTGAAAGAGAGACACTAGTTGCAGTAGAATGTAGAAAACCAACAAAATCCAGGGACTCAACTTACAGCAAAGTATTTCTGAACAACACCAAAATCGATAAAACCAATTACAATCCATACCACCAACGTCACAGTTGAAATGATGATGATGAATGGGACAAAGTATCCACTAAATTTGTCAGCCAGTTGCTGAATGGGTGCCTATGGAAAAAAAACAAGACACCAAAACCATTGGAACTTATAAACAAAAAGATAAATAATGCTATAAGCATGGATCAAGAAAGTAATACATAATCATTTCTTTTCTTAATCACTTCATGGATCAGCCACACCTAAGAAAACTGAATGGGCTCCTATGAAGATCTTAAAATAATTTCCAGAGTGAGGAGACCATGAAGCCATGTCCAATGTTTGCCAAATACTCCGGATATTTTCATTACCTTTGACATCTGAGCCTCCTCTACCAGTTTCACAATCTGTGCTAACGTGGTGTCAGCCCCAACATGAGTGGCAGTAACTAGCACTGAGCCATGTGCATTGATTGAGCCAGCAATCACCGTGCTCCCTGGCTTCTTAGTGACTGGCATAGCTTCTCCTATAGTGGGGAAAATGGAGAAATAGTATGAGCTACATCTGCCATCAGCATGTAGGTGTCCTGGCAAATCCTATGTGATCTCCCAGAAGTAAAGTTCAATCAACACCAGCTAACCTGTGATGAGGGACTCATCTGCCATGGTGCTGCCTTCTAGGACTTTTCCATCTACTGGGAACTTTCCCCCAGGTACTACCTTGATCACATCATTCCGCTGAACCAGCTCCATGGGCACTTGCTCCTCCCTGCAACAAATATTACTAAAGTAAAAAATTGGGAAAGTTAAAAGCCCAAGAAGGCAGAATAGTGTGGCAAAACTTGTGCTGGCTTTGAAGTCAAGGACCTAGGTTCAAATCCTGGCTCTTCTGGTTTTTTGTCACTTTAGATAAGTCTCTTCACTCCTTTGGACCTGTAGCTCCTCATATTTAAGATAATAAGATAAAGATAACGATAAGATAAAGAAGTTGAATTGATATGATCTCTAAGGTTCCTTCTAGCTCTAAATCCTATGAACCACATTCATTTATACTTTCTCATCACTGGGACCATATCCATTCAAAGAGAATGTTCTCTTTTTTTAATACTTAAATTTTTTTAAATTAAATTAATTTTATTTTAAACAAAGATGTCCCTTTTCTCCCTCCCACTTCCCTTCATTCCCCTTAAAGAAACATGAAAAACAAAGTCCCCTATTATAAACACATAATCAAGCAACACAAATTCCTGAGTTTGCCACGTCTGAAAATGTCTCAATCAGTACTCTGAGCCAATCACCTCTCTGTCAGGAGATGGATGGCCTATTTCAGTGTGAGTCCTCTGAAATTATGGTTGGTCATTGTGTTAGTTCAAATACCTAATCAACCTAAGTTGATTGTCTTTACAATACTTTTGTTATTGTATAAACTGTTCTATTCTTATCTCACTCTGAATCAATTCATACAAATCTTCTTAGGTTTCTCTGAAGCTGTCCTCTTCATCATTTCTTTTTTTTTAAAATAAATTTATTTATTTATTTTGAGTTTTCAACATTCACTTCCATAAGATTTTGAATTCCAAATTTTCTTCCCATCTGTCCCTTCCCCTCATCCCAAGACAACATGTAAAATGATATAGGCTTGACATATACGTTCTTACTAAGCCTATTTTCATATTAGTCATGTTATAAAGAATAATTAGAACCAATGGGAGAAACCACAAGAAAAAAGAAACAAACAAACAAACAAACAAAAAAGAGATAGAGCAAATGATATGCTTCGATCTGCATTCAGACTCCATAGTCCTTTTTCTGGATATGCACAACATTTCCATCATGAGTCTTTTGGAGTTGTCTTAGATCCCTGCATTGCTAAGAAGAGATAAGTCTATCAAAAAGTTAGCCATCGAATAATGTGGCTGTTACTGTGTACAGTGTTCTCCTGGTTCTGCTCACTTCACTCAGCATCAGTTCATATAAGTTTTTCCAGGTTTTTCTGAAATCTGCCCACTCATCATTTCTTATAGCACAATAATATTCTATTACATTCATATACCACAACTTGTTCAGCCATTCCCCAACTGATGGACATCTCCTCATTTTCCAATTCTTTGCCACCATCCCTTTATCATTTCTTACAGCACATACACAGATCTTGACTTGTTCAATCATTCTCCAATTGATGCACGTTCCCTCAGGTTCAAATTCCTCACCACCACAAAAACAGGTGCTGTAAATATTTTTGTGCCCGTGGGATCTTTTTCCCCTTTCTTTGATTCCCTGGGGTATAGACCTACTAGCAGTATGCTAGGTCAAAGGCTATGTATGCACAATTTAATAGCTTTTTGGGCATAGTTCCAAAAGGCTTTAATAGATCCATTAACAATGTATTAGTGTACTTGCTTTCCCACACCCCCTCTGGCATTTCCTTTTAAGGCAACTTTGCCAATTTTATGCGTGTGTGTGAAGAGGTGCTTTAATTTGTATTTCTCTATTACTGATTTCGAGTATTTTTATATTGCTATTGACAGTTTGGATTTCATCATCTGTAAATTACCTTTTTATATCCCTTGATCAACTGGAGAATGGCTTTTATTCTTATAAATTTGTATCAGTTTCCTACTTATCTTTAAATTGAGATCTTTACTAGAGAAACTTGCTGCAAAGATTTTTTTCCCCATTTATCTTCTTCTTTTCTAATTTTGGGGCAGCTTTATGTTAAAGTTGGACTCTGCTCCCCTAGGATTAGGGAGGCACTGTCCCAAGCTTCAGGCTTTTTCATGTTGCTGTTTTCAGAGCTAGTTCTGAGAGTCTACAAGTTTTTGGTGTGATTTCAGGAGAAGTATGGTCACTGCTTTCCTGGTCTGCACTCTGGTCTTTACCCAGCAAGGGCCCCTGGTCCCCACAAGTGCCAGCATTCCTCTTCACCTTGGAACTGAGACCAGGGCCCCTACTCCCTTGTGACAGACCATAAATGTTCTTCTCCACCCTGGAACTGTGACAAAGGGCTGCTTATGGGCTGCTAATCAGTGTCAGCAAAAGGTCCTCTTTAATCTCCTTCTGACTGTTGTCTAACAGAGCTCCTAAAGTTGCTACTGCCACTAGCACAGTCACCTCCAAGGTCCATGGCTCGTGCTGTGGTGCTGTGCTCCAGGCCAGTGCCCACCCTGTGTCATAGATCTTTCCTGCATACCTCCTAAGCTTTCTTAGGCTGGAAAAATGTCTCTCCCTGACCTTTTGTTGGCTCTATCACTCCAAAATTTGATTTGAGGCATTACTTTAAAGTTGTTCAGAGCTGAATGTTGAGAGAGTTCAGATGGATTGTTGCCTCTAATCCACCATCTTGGTTCCACCCCACAAATAGTTTTAACACTTCCAATTTTTTTTTTTATGACAATGGCTCTAATCCACCTTTAAGAGGCAGAATAGTGTAGTGGATAAAGTGCTGAACTTGGAGTTAAAATTCTGCCTTTGACACTCTGAGCCTCAATTACCTCATCTGTAAAATAGGGACAATAAAGCCTTGCAGGGGTTGACATGAAGGCCAAATGAAAGCCAGTATGTAAATCATTTAGTACTATACAAATGTCAGTTCTTCCTGTTTTCAGCCTTACTGCATACTGAGCATGACGCATTCTATTTTCTCACCCAAGCAGAATATTCACAGTCTCCCAGTATCCTACCTTTTTTCTGTGTCTTCGCACATTCTATGCCTGGAATGGCCTTAACTTACATCTCTGCCTGTTGAAGTCTTTCTCTTCCTTCAAGGTATAGCTCAAGTACCAGATCCTTCATGATGCTTTCCTTGATCTCCCTAGCTAGAAAGGAACTCTGTTTTTTAAATCTCTTACCTCTCTGTTAGAATCTCAGATGATCAATGATCAGGGACCCTGTAGTTTACATTTATTTTTTTGGGTAGAAGTTAAAGTAGAAAACCTCTAAGGACCCTTTCAATTCCGCAATTCTGTAACTATGATCTAACTAGTTTTTCTTCTGGGTCTGAATCTTAATTTAGAGACAAAAGCCCTTCCTAGGTATACTGATGACTCCAATACTTCTAGTATACTAGAAGTTAAGTAGCTCCTTTTAGCTTTATTTGCACAGCTAAGAGGTAGGAAGAAAAACCTACTTTCCTGATTAAGCCAAGGACAGGTGTTAGTTTTCTTTTTCTAAGATCCCTTCTGCCCTAAGAGTTTCTGCTAACAGTTTACCATTACAATCCTCTTGCTTCTGTCCAACCATTCTAGAAAACAATTTGGAACAGGCCCAAAGGGTTATAAAACTGTGCATACCTTTGACTCAGCAATACCAATACTAGGACTGTATTCCAAAGAGATCATAAAAAAGGGAAAAGGACCTCAATGTACAAAAATGTTTATAGCAGCTCTTTCTGTGGTGGCCAAGAACTGGAAATTGTGGGGATGCTCATCAATTGGGGAATGGCTGAGCAAGTTGTGGTATATGAATGCAATGGAATACTATCGTTCCAAAAGAAATGATGAGCAGGCAGATTTAAGAAAAACCTGGAAAGACTTAGATGAACTGATGCTGAGTGAAGTGAGCAGAACCAGGAGAACACTGTACACAGTAACAGCAACAGTGTGCAATGATCAACTATGACAGACTTAGCTCTTCTCAGCAATATAATGATTCAAGACAGTTCCAAAAGATTCGTGATGGAAAATGCTATCCACATCCAGAGAAAGAACTATGAAGTCTGAATGCAGATTGAAGCAGACTATTTTCGCTGTTTTTTGTTTTTTTTTTCTCATGGCTTTCCTGTCTTGTTCTGATTCTTCTTCCACAACATGACTAATGTGGAAATATGTTTAACATGACTGTACATCTATAATGTATATCAGATTGCTTACTGCCTTGAGGAGGGGGAAGGAGAAAAATTTGGAACCCAAAATCTTACCAAAATGAATGTTGAAAACTCAAAAAAAATTGGGGAATGGCTGAATAAGTTGTGGTATATGATTGTGATGAAATGTTATTGTACTACAAGAAATGACAAACAAGGTGGTTATATGAACTGATGCAAAATGAAGTGAGCAGAACCAGGAGATCATTGTCTATAGTAAGAACAATACTGTAAGGATGATCAACTGTGAAAGACTTGGCTACTCTGATCAACACAATGATCCAAGACAATTCCAAAGGACTTATGATGAAAAAATGCTAACCACCTCCAGAGAGAGAACTGATGAGATCTGAGTGCAAACTGAAGTATAATTTTCTCACTTTATTTCCTTGATTTTTTTTTGGTGATACAGTTAATGTGGAAATACATTTTGCATGATTTCACATGTATAATTGATATCATATTGGCTTGCCTCCTCAGTAGGTGGGGAAGTGGTGCAAGGGAGGAAGAGAATTTGGAACTACGTATCTTTTAAAAGAATGTTAAAAATGATAAAGTAGAAATAAAAGAAGAGGGAACACAGACAGAGGTAGGTCTATTGGCAATTTTATCTTCACTTCAAGTACCCTTCAACAACAGAAAATATTTAAATCAACTAAATGTGTCTGATATTAGTAAACACACAACCTATTTGGCCTTTTAATTTTTAGAGTTTCTGAAGCTGGATTTGAAAGAAGATTGGTTAGCATTAATTGATTTAATAACAGCAATAGCTGAAAACTATGTGACTATAATGGTGACATCATAGTGGGGAAAAAAAAACCAAATCAATCATCCTTGCTTTCTACTCCTGGTTTCTCACCTTGAAGAAGCCAAAAAGAGAGGAAAAGTATACTGTACTTCAGCGCCAAAGCCTTTTTTTTTTAACCTAGGACAAATCGTCTTGATTTAGAGGCACTCATAACTCACTCCAACCATCTTGTCCCCTCTCTCTGATCAATACTTTAGCTAAGGCTTAGTATGAACTGAAATTTGAATTATAGCCATTCCCTTAGTGATCCACGCTTTTATATATTATAGCATGTTTTCTGACAGGAAGTGCGGAGTTACTCAAACCTTAGCTTATAAAGAAAAATTATTTTATAAATGCCTAGCAGTTCTTCAAGAAGAAACCTTTTTCAATCACCATTTTTTAAAAAGATGCAAAGTTCTGTTTGTAACAGAGATATGAAAGAGTTTGGGGTTTTTTTAATCACCTTGATTCTGGACAAATGTACGCTAGACATTTTTAAAGACCAATGTATAATAGCGACTCAGTCAAAACCCTTTTAATTCTCACTACTTTTAGAATATAACCAGTTGCCTTAACAGTAGTGCATAAGTGCATATGCACTTTGAAGGGAGAAAACAGACTTAGCTCTGCACAAGCTCTTAGAAAGGAGTATGAACCTAATTTATGTTGTTTTACGTTGCATTCTGAACCTGTTACAATGATCATTCCTAAAGGAGGCAGGGAGAGGGTGGAAGCAAATGCCTCAAAGTCTTATTCCTGCTTTCATTACCTTCCAACATTCTAGCACTTCATAATGTGTCTGATACCACACATACAAAGAGGTTCCTGCAGTCATGGACAAAAGCAGATACAATTACAGGTAATAGGTATTTATTTATTTATTACATGTTTGCTGTGCTCAATTGCATTTTACAGTCTAAAGCCTATTTCAACAAATATTTGTTAAATGCCTACTCTACCAAAAGCTCTTTGAATGGACACTATAAAGGAAGAACTCGATCCAGAATAAACAGAACAGAAGAGTGGGCCGGACTGCCCTAGCTCTTTTCATGTCCCCAAGCTAGTTAATGAAGTCAAAAGGAAACAATGTCATGTAACCGAGAGAGCTACCCACTATTTCCATAACCTCAGGCATGTTTCTTCACCTCTCTGGCCTTCAAGGTTTTCTCATCTCTACAATGCAGCCTTAGACTAGATGATCAAAGACAGATCCTACTGGCTCCAAATCCTGTAATTTTCTACTTATAAACTGATAAAGATTCAAAAAGGATAGACTGAGGGGCCGCAGTTACTAAGATGAAATGGACTAGCAATAAACACAAAGCCCACTAAAGTCATATCCCAATGTTTCATCCTTGGGTAAAAGCAGCCATAGATGTTCTCAAAGGCCCTAACAGCAGAGCAAAAGTTCTGGCTACCAAGCCGAAAAGACTCCAAGTGTGGGTCTGGTGATGGAGCAACATTTGTCATCTGAGAACCAGCCTAGAGAAGCTCATCACGTAACTGGCCACAGAGTAATGATTTTTAAACATGGCAACCCTCAAAGTTAACTATCCACTTACAGAGGGTTTGCAATCTGGGCACTAGGGGAAGGAATGTCCATATTTACAAAATTGCAAATCCTTGAAGCACAGAAATAAAGACTGTAGCTTGGTTTTAAAAAATCATCTATACAAACACAGGGTGGAGGAGGGATGGCTAGACAGCAGTAAATGTGCCAAAGATCTAGGAATTGTACTGGTCTAGAAACTCAATGTGAGGGAACTGAAATGATGTGCAAACTTATGTTGTCTACAGCATACAGAACGAGGGACATGACAGTTCTGTTTGTGATCTGCCCTGCTCAGACCACTTTCAGAGCTGTATGTTTAGTTCTTAGTACCACCATTATCATAGAGTAAAAACCCTTTTCTTTGTTTTAGCATGAAAAGTTAGTGCCTGGCAGATAATAAGCACTGAATAAATGTTTGCAGATTGATTTTTTTTTTTAAAAAAAAACCCACTAGCCTAACTGGGAAGCACCATTTCTTTGTTCTTTTTTCTTTTTGTTCTTTTTTTGTTTGGCTAGGCAATGGGGTTAAGTGATTTGCCCAGGGTCACATAGCTAGTTAAGTGTTACATGTCTGAGGTCAGATTTGAACCCAGGTCCTCCTGAATCCAGAGCTGGTGCTCTATCCACTGCGCCACCTAACTGCCCCTGCACCATTTCTTTGAAGAAGTGACTCCCACCCCTTAAAGGACCAAGGTATCTTGTAAACATCAGCAAACAAGAAGTGGTATTATTTATTATCCTCATTTTACAGATGAGGAAACTAAGGCAGACTGAAGTCAAGTGACCTGCTCACTGCTAGCACTCCTGTGGCACTTATTTGGCACCATATACTTCCTTGTATTGTCAATTATCTTTTTAAAGTGAGATCCTGATTAGGGTGAATAATGAAGCCCCGTAAGTTGTCTCACAAATTACAACTCGAACTATTTAAAGTTATTATTACACAAACTATTGTAACTAGGTCCACCTAGGCCCTATCCAAGTAACCTTGGGAAATGCAATCTCTAAGATTCAAAGTTTTCTGATCTATAAAAAGATTAGGGTAGAATAGATAATTATCAAAAGATCAATAAGCATTCATTAAGTGCCTATTGCATGCAACACTCTGTGCTAAGTGCCAGGAGTACAAAGACAACGGCAAAACAGTCCCTGCCTTTGAGGAGTTTACATTTTTGAGGGGCAGATGTACACATATAGGGAATCCCAAAAGTCCTAGTGCAGGTTTAAGCTTTAGTAACTTCAGAAGTATAAAGTCTAGAAATTTACAAAACATATCAACTGAAAGATTATTCATATTTTACACTTCATTAGTTTTGTGAAATTTATGTAATAAGTGATTTCTTTTAATTTTAACAAGCCAGGGCACCCTGTCACTATGCATTGTGTGCCAGGTTCTGGATGACCTTTTCTCAGACCAGTGGATCTGTAGAGGAGGTCCTCCAGCTCAGCAACGTGGGTCGTCTCTGCTATCTCCTAAGCATCAAAACCCGATTCTTTGGATGACTTTCAGGCCTGGATTACACATGCAATCCTTTCAGTCACCGATCAGCAACTGATGAAAGTTTCTGCAAAGTTTGAAGTAACTAGAGAGATATATAGCACAAGATGGTGGTGTTGGTAATAGTTAAGAAACATATCAGAAGAATGGTTTAAAATGCATAAAATAGAATATAGAGGATTACAAAGAAAACTGATGACAATGAAATACCGATATCAAAATATTTTTAAAAAATAAGTTCCCTTGATTAGAGTGATGAGAAGCTTGAGACAGGAAGACCAAACAGAAAGCTATTGCAAGAGTCCAGCTGATATCTTTGCGGGCTAGTGCTATGCGTAAGATTTTTTTTTTTTGCTTTTCTTACATGACAGAGTGCCACACAAGGTAATGATAACTCACATTTATGTGATGCTTTAAGTTTTATAAAGCACTTGGCTTATAACCCTTCACATATAGGTTCAGGGAAATGAATGCATCCAGTCTGAGGCTCAGTTAGTGGCAGAACCAGGACTCAAACTTCTGCCTTCATGTCCAATGCCATTCCCACAACATCAATGAACATTTTCTGAAGGACGGATATAAACCCAAGCCTATGAAAGAGAGTCTCTGGTGAAGAATAGTCACCTGAGGATGAGATTGTCATCGCCTAATGTCACAACAGTAGCTTCTGTGGCTTGAAGAGACATTAGTTTCGCAAGGGCTTCAGATGTTTTGCTCTAAGAGATAAAGAGAAGAGATGCCAGAGAAGTTTTTAAAAGACACGGCCCCATCTCCACTCTCACGCCCAATCCTGAGGTTAGGAGTAATGGGTGATAACAATCTTGTTTTACCTGAAGAAAACTGCTGCCATTTAACAGTCTTGCTGATAGATTCCGACATTCTTTCTATTTGAATAATGTACTGCTGCTCCTCCCTCATACCCACAATGTCATTGCATGAGTTGGATGGCTACACCATCAATAAGCAGAAATGATTCAGTACAAAAGCAACAGCCACGAACCTATATATTTTAAAAAATTCTTCCCATCCGCTTCCTATCTTATTTTAGATTCAACCTAATTTCTTTCAGAGTGGAGTCCCACCAAATTGTATAAGTGATTTAATGTTTTGGGTTTGGGGTTTTTTTGGGGTGTGCGTGTGTGTGTGTGTGTGTGTGTGTGTGTGTGTGTGTGTAAAGTACGTGCAAAATGAGCATGTCCTTTTAACATTGGAATTTAGCTTATGTTTAATATTTCAAAACTAAAGCACAAGTTATCTGAATACAGGTCAAGCAACGTCAGGATTTGCAAACAACCTATTTTCCTTATGCTTCTTACCTTTGCCACATGTTCCAACCACCTCCCCAGTGCAATGAACACAAAAAGCATGGGAGGTGTATCAAAGAAGGTGACAGGACTCTTCTCTGCCTTCTCAGCAATGGCCACCACCAGGATCACAAGAGAATAGGCATAAGCAATGCTTGTGGCCAATACAATGAGCACATCCATGTTGGCGGTCTTGTGTTTCAATGATTTGTAGGCCTGGACATAGAAATACCACCCACCTAGGAACTGTAGAGAGGTGTGGGTAAGACTGTAGATTACTGTTGATAAGTGAGCCAACAACCTTAGCACGCAGATCTAGTTCTCTTCCCATCCCCCCCAACCTGCCTCCCACCTCCCGCACTGAAGGCATATGTCCTTGGCTTTCACACAATTGCTTGTTTTCATTTTAACAAATGATTTTTTTAAAAAAAGTGAATTCTAAAACTGAGGGCTGACCTGTGCATCGAGGGGTTATAAAGAATGGCCTTTAAAATTCAGGGGGTCTCAGCTGGGATGGTTGGCTTCAGAATCAGATTCAAATTCACTAGCTTACTTATAATGCATTACAGAAGGTAAACAATTTAACTGTAGACCTTGCCCTCACAGACACATATGTGATTAATGACATGTGATTAAAAGGAGTTCCCTGATTAAAGACTGGGACAGTAAGGGAGAGGACTAGACTTCAGGATTACTCAAAGGTCGTGTTCATCTCTAAGACTCCCAGGACTAAGCCAAGAGGTTTTAAAGCTCTTAAAAGTAATACATGCATCAAGTGCCCATTTCCCACCCCAAGAAGACACTCTTAGTTTTCTAACATAAAGCCAAATACGTAACACTTTAGATTACTTAAAGAATGTGTTAGGAGATTGCCCCTGCCTCACTGTGTAACCTTGTGCATATATACTCTTTCCAAGTCATGGGTTTCTCATATGTAAAATCTGGTCATTGGATTAAAGGACCCCAAAGTCCTTTTCAGCTTTGCAATTCTATAGTGTTCCTTTAGCTAAATAACTCTAAGTTATCTAGCTCTCACTAAGTGGCTGCTACTCTAATCCAACCCCTTTATTCTACATCTGAGAAACCTGAGACCCAGAGATATTAAGTAATTTTGTCCAGTGCTAGTAAGTGTCAGAGATGTGATTCAAGCAAATATCTGCCGGCTCCAGGTCCAGCCCGGTTTCCTCTCCAGGATGAAGAGGAAAGCCTTGTACGTGTTCAGATGATGATGATTATAACAATGATCACTTAAGCCAGATAGCAAGTAAGATGCTCCTGCCAAAGCAGAGAACACGTCACCTCCAAGCCACATGGTTATGGAGGGAACTCCTGCCAGTCCCAGGAGAGAACACTGGCCACTAAGTGACCCAAGAGGGCAACTCCACGCCAGCGGGCGAGGCCCACGCTGATCAGTGACGCTACAGAGAGCATCCATCATCTCAGCCTGTGCAAGCAGTACGGTGCCCCCATGCGATTCCAAACATGGGACCTCATTCGGCCTGGGTCCAGAGCACGCAAACTCACCCAAGCAGCAGCAGAACAAGACAGGCTTTGCTTTTCCTTCACATACACACCTGGACAAAAGTGCACAGGACAAAGAAGATGAGATTCAGGATGGATAATCCAGGGATGAGGTTGTACTCCAACACCATGGACTCATGAGGCTGACTGCTGGGTACTAACATGTAAATCATCAAGCACAAGACAGGGATGCCAAACACCAGACTGCACAGGAAAGACTTCTTCCATCTAGAAAGGAGAGGGACAGCAATTGCGTCCCGTGAGACACAGTTCCCATCTGGAGCAGTGCCCTGTTCTCCTGCTGATGGGGTTGAGACACAGCTGTATTGCCTGTGTCAGGGAAGGGAAGGGAAAAGGCAATGGTTCTGCCTCCCAGACATCAGCCCATTGAGGCTATATTTAGCGTTTTAAGTTTAAGTTGAAGAGTTAGAAGAGCCCTCAAGGACCGTTGGATCCAGGGTCCTGCCTAAAGGCAGGTAAGGTATCGATGTGCCCATTTTATAGATAAGGTAATTGAGGTCCAGCAAGGCAAAGTGTTTGCTCACAAGATAAGTGGTAGAGGAGGGATTAGAACTCAGGTCTCTTGCCTACGAAGGCTGCATTCTTTCTACTATACCATGAAGCCTCTCCTTAGACCTTAGTCTTATCTCTCATTTCAATAAAGCACCAATTCTTAATCTGCAAAGTGTTCTAGGTCTAAGACCTCTCCCAAATTAAGGTCAGGGGTCTTACAACTAAGAGACACAAAGCCATATTAATCCAAAACCGTGTGAAACACTGGATACCAGCAGCAACGGTTACATAGACAAGTACATACCAGGATAAGCCGAAGAATCTGGTTAAGGAGAGCAAGGCACTTATCCAACAGCTTTGGGTTATTTTTAAACTGTTCTACCTACTGTTTGATTTCCATCTTGTGATCCAAATGGTGAGCACTGGGGTTTTTCTGAGCCAAGGAAGCATGAAAGCCAATTCCCTTATTTTTAAAAAAAGAAAAAGAAAAAAAGTGGAGAATACTTGGTAAATGAATGAACGCACTAGAAGTATTTCATAAACAATACGATGAGTTTCTGAGACACTCTCACTTTTTTGCTCCATTTATTGGTAGCTTGTAAGCTCTCATTTCTCCTCACACAGAAAAAAAGTACAAATTCCACCTGCCTCCTACACACACACACACACACACACACACACACACAGTGTGCACATATACACACATGCACAAGCAAAAGAATCCATCTTGGGTCAAGCCTGTGTAATGCTTTATAGAATGTGCCCCATCCATCAGGACAGTGATGCTTCCCTTTTATGAATACAAAGAGAATATATATATAGAAAAGCTTTCTTCTTAGGGCTCCAATATTCAGAGGGCTTCAGAGCTGGAAGGCCCCTTGAGACAGAGTACAGTTCCTGTGCTTTGCAGAACTGAGATCTAAAGGGACTTTGGACTTGTCCACAGTCACACAGATAACTTACTTCTCCTCCCCCTTTTACTGATAATAAATAACATAATCACGCAGGTTCACAATGCACTTTTCTCACAATCCCTGTTTTTCAGATTATAAAACTGAATTTCAGAAGGGTTTAAAACTCGCTCAAAGTCACAGAAGTTCTCAAAGTGTTGTCCAGGGACCCCTGTGGGTCCCTGAGATCCTTCCATGATGTCCTCAAGGTCAAAACTTTTTAATAATAAAACATTTTAATTTATAATATAGTAAATACAGATAGACAATTTACATTTAAAGAAGCTCTTTGGGAGGGACTTCAATAATTTTTAAGAGTGTAAAGGGGTCCTGAGATCAAAAAGTTTGAGAAATGCTGTTTAGAAGGTCAGAACTCAGATCTCCTGATGTTAAGTGCAGAGATCTTTCCACTAAATCACATGATGATTTACAAGGTCGCTCAACAGCTAGGATTTCATCTGTGGCTCATCGGTAACCACCTCTCAACCTTCCACATATACGCACACGCACACCCTTCTCTTTTCCCACTCCCCAACACCACGATGACTTTTAATTCTCTCTTTACAATGCCTGTGGGGAAAAGCTATTAGGAAATAAGACAGCTGTCCCCATGAGGAAAGAGACCCTGGAACTTTCATCATGAGTCTTGAACAATAAAAATCAAATACAGTTGGAGAAGGTGGTATGAGAGAGATGAGGCCATCTGAGAACCTTGGTTAACAAGGCCATGTATGACAAATTCCAGTACTGCGGTACTAAGAAAAAACACATAGACTGCAACAAAGAAGATCTGGGGCAGGGAGCGGGTGAAATTTCTCAGAACAAGGAGGATGCAGCCACAGCCTCCGATAGGGGTGAGGCCAAATGAAAGTGGTAAGTAACAGAGAATGTAAAATACACTGAAAGGCCTTAAAAAGCTGTGCTCCACTGCTGCCTTTTAGAGATTCTTCCTACCCATGCAAATTTGACTTTTAATGCTTTACATCACTCTTCTCTTCCAAATTGTTGGCATCCTTCAAGATTTATTGAATACTAACAGTATCTCAGGGCCATTCGGCATGGGGTGTTTGGTTTTTAAACACTGGAAAAGTCACTCTTGTTAAAGGAAGTTAAGAAGAAACATTGCTAATTTTGCATGAAGATGCCGCATTTCATAAGAGATTCTAAGAACGTCATAGTTACCACTAAGCTGCAACTTTATCCCATTCTCTAAAGGTTGCATTGCAAGTTAATCTTGTTTGGTTTTCTCATTGATTTTTTTAAAAAACCATGCCAGTCATCACTAATGGTCTCTAATATAGATCATGCGGGAGTCTTGGTCAAAAGGTATAAACATGATTGTAGCTCCTTGAGGGCTGACTACATCTTTTCCATCTTGGCATCCTTTCTGGGTATTTTTTTTTTGGCTAGACAATGGGGTTAAGTGACTTGCCCAGGGTCACACAGCTAGTACATGTCAAGTGTCTGAGACCGGATTTGAATATTCAGGTCCTCCTGACTCCAGGGCCAGTGCTCTCTCTACCTAGCTGCCCCCTGGCATCTTCTCTAATACAGTTCAATGCACAGAGCAAACACTGAAATAGACATCTGATGAACAAGTGAAAGAGTTAAAACACTAAGCAGGAAACATCAGAGTTCATGGGCCAGGCACCTCAGCTCCACAGATGTTTCCAGTGTTCTTCCAAAATGAACACAAAGATATAAATGAGTCTACCACCTTACTATTTCAGATTACCTAAGATTTATCTCTTTGAGTTTGCTTTAAAATAACTTACCTCAATAATTTTTATAATATCCCGAGGACCCACAATTTCAGGGTCAAACTTGATGTGTGCCTTGCTAGTAGCAAGGGCCACAGAGGCATAGAGAATACCCTTGGTTCTGGTCAATCTGGACTCAATGTTGTGAACACATGAAGCACAGGTCATTCCTGTGACCTATAAAGCAGAAGGATAAAATGGATATTTGTCAGATAACTTGTGGGATCTATGCTAGGGCTCCCCAACCTGTACATCATCAGCCACTCATCTATCACAGGTTAGCTGCCACCACATTCTCTCCTATCAACTCCTAAGTGGCCAGTAATTTATCCTAGGATCACTAGGCCACAGATCTTGAGGCAGAAGACATATGGGAGGTTATCTAGTCCAATCCCTTCATTTTGCAGATGAGGAAACTGAGGTCCAGGGCTGGTAAGTCACTCTTTCAAGGTCACACTGGTAGTAAGTATCAGAGACAGGATTTGAATTCATGCCTTCTTGATGGGGTGAGCTCAAGCAGAGATATCCCCCCTCCTTGTACCAAAGAGAATCTGGCTCCCATTTGTCTACAGACCCCAGCTCCTTATCTCCCTTTGAAAGCCTTAGCCCCACCTTTTGGCCTTACTCAGATGCCTTCCAGCTCCCTCCATTACAGGCCCCATAAAACACTTAAACTTTCAGGTTCCTTATCCACTCCCCTTATCTCCCTTTGACAGATGCCTTCCTGTTCCCTCCATTAGCTATTCCCATTGTCTATTCAATCTCTCAGACCTCCCCACTTAGAATTCTTACCTAGACCCTTTTCCCAGCCCCCTTCTCTGGCCACCCAAAGTTACTTTAGTATTTAAGATCCACTCTGGCCCCCATTCAGACGCTGAGAATCTCAAACCCAAAAGACTGAGACTTTCTCATGCCCGCTTGTCCCCACGAGCATCACCTGGCCTAAGTGTTTCATCACTAATAAACTTTTCCTCTGGCTGGAAGAAGATTTGAGTTGAATTCATTCAGGCAGGGCCCGGTGCCATGATCTTGGGGTTCCAGAACCCCAAAAGTCCTAGACCTCTTCACTCTGACCATGGAGTCAGCGATCTTTCCCCATGATACCCCCACTCATTTGGGCAGTTAACTCTCCATACCAGCACCATCCACCACCCTCCCAAGCCTCTTCAAGTGCATAAATAAAAAGTCGCTCTTCTCCCCCCAGAAGGTTGTGAATCCCTTGTCTAGGCAACATAATCAACCAATGAAGAGGGAGGCAGGACGCTTGAGTTCAAACTTCCAGCCCTGGGAGTTACTTGCTGCATGGTTTGTAGGAGGCGTTTCTTCTCTTTACTTCTGTTTTCTCACTGGCTCCACAGGTATAACAATGTCTGCTCTTTATCTACCTCAGTAAGATTTCGGGAGGAGATACAGTCTCTGCAAAACAATGTGAGCTCCTTAAAACTTAGGCTCTGTCCCTGCTAAGGAAGACGCTAGGGCCTCCTTCAGTTCCATAACTGCAGGAAAGGAGGAAATCATTGCTGTGAGATGCATACAATGAATCAGACACAGAGCACTAATAGTCAGCATTCTCCTTCATGAAGAGCTCAATTATTATGCATAATAGCTCACATTTATATGGGGCTTGATAGCTACAAAGAGCCATCACAAACATCTTCCATAAGATCACCTACACGAAAACCTGTGAGTCTTATTTAAAAGGATCAGATTGGGCAAAGGAGATAAACACCAGATAATACAGAAGCACAGAATTTGAGAGTTGGAAGGGACCTCAGCAGCCATCTGGTCTAATAGACTGAAATCATTAATATAATTTGAGATAATACAACATAATATAATATAATGGAGCAGCTACTTGGTACAGTGGAGAAAGCGCCAGGGCTGGAGTCAGAAGGACCTGAATTCAAAACTGACCTCAGACAGTTACTAGCTGTGTGACCCTGAGTAAGTCACTCAATATGGTTTGCCTCATTTTCCTCACCTGTTAAATGAGTTGGAAAAGGAAATGACAAACCACCCCAGTATCTCTGTCAAGAAAACTCAAATGGGGACACAAAGTCAAACATAACTGAAAATGAGTAAACACACACAAAAAAGTCATATCATATTATATAATTATGTATATATATATATGTGTGTATGTGTAGATACACATATATACATATATTTAAACATGTAGACATACACAAACACGTATTTATATTTCCTATGCACTGATTTAATCCAAAAGTACCTACTCTGGGGAGTGCTAAGTCATGACTGTCACACACACACACACACACACACACACACACACACACACACACTTGATAAAGTTTGACCCAAAAATGTCGGTTATGCAACTAAAATAATATCCATTTGAAAGGAAAATGTGTGTGTGTGTGTGTGTGCGCATGCATGTATATATGTGTGTGTATGTACGTAGCTAAACATTTAAAAATAATGCCAAGTACAGCCCAAACCAAGGTAAATATAAGCCAGATTTGGGAGGGAAGTGTGGCCTGTATTAGGCTCAGTGCAGTATCCCCATTTACAGATAAGCAACCTGCATGCTACAGATGTTAATGAGCTATTGAAGGTCACACTGAAGGAGAAGCCTTCTAAGTCCCAAACCCAAGCCTTCTAAGTGCACACTGCCTCTCTCAAGGCTAAGACCCACAAGAAAATCCTGTGTACATGTTATAGCGACCAGTAGTGAAAAATAGTACACAGCAATGATCATAAAGGCAAATTAGCTTAAAAAAACCCCACTATATTATGGCACTATAATTTCATAATGTTAAAAAAAAGTTCTTAAATAAAATTATTCATTTATTGTTAGATTTTGAGGCATAGCAAACTGGTTGGTTTAGTATTTGCCTCCTTTGAAGAATGTAGTAGTATGGGAAAGGGAAAATTCTTCCAGGATCCATCACTAGGTTGACAGCAGCAATCCAGCGACTGCTACGCCCTACATTCCCCCAACACAGAAAGGAAGGCCCCATTCTGTAACGCCCAGTTCCTTCCTTCATAAAGAATGCCACTTATTAGAAATTCAGAGAGCCACCTATGTCCTTAAAACCTTGTCTTTAAATATTTGCTTACTGCTACCGGCAGCAAGCAAATGAAAGACTCTTTCGACTCTGCCACACAGCATTGCTCAATCTCTTTCTTTCAGGTCAGCTGCTTGACACAATAGTCCTCTTCCAGATGGGCAGCACAGGGAGTAGATGCAGGGCTGGACTTGTAGTCAGGAGCCCTGGTTTTTGATCATCCTGTCTAATATTTGCTAGCTATGTAAACATGTGTATGTCCTGCAACCACTCAGATTCTGTTTCTTCCATATCAAAAGAGTATAGTAATAATGGCTAGTATTTATATATTGCTTCAAGGTTTGAAAAGAGCTTTATAAATATTATCTTAATCGATCCTCATGACAACCCTGGGAGGTAGGTGCTGTTATAATGTCCATTTTACAGAAGATGAAACTGAGGCAGGCAGAGGTTAAGTGACTTGCCCAAAATCCCACAGTTAGTATCTAAGGCTGGATTTGAACTCAGGTCTTCTTGACTCCAAGTCTAACATCCTAACCACTGGGCCACCTCTGTAAATAATACTTGTACTACCTATTCACAGGGTTGCCATTAAGAAAACTATTTTGCCTATTTAAAATGCCATACAGGGATTCCCAGAGTGCAGTAAATGAGTAAGCTTCAATAGCTTAAAATGGCACCAAGACTTCTGGGACACCCTGTATTAATGTTTCAGGGTCCCTCATAGACAGAGATGACTGGTTACAGTGAATAAGTGGGCACCTCTCGCTCTGCCCAGTCCCATGGCACAGCTCCTCATTTTTCTCCAAGCAGCCATGACAGTGACTGCTTATCTTTGGTGTGGTATATATGACCCTTGTCCCATCCAGACAAGGACACAGAGAGGAGAGTTTACATATCCCGATTCCTCTCCCAGCCAGTGGGCCTCACAGCATCTCAGGTACTCAGAACAACCTTCTGAGCCTTCTCAACCCTCTTTCTGGCCGATAGTGGCATGTCGGTTATTCTACCTCCCAAATGCTTCAGTTTTCTAAGCACCGTTTCTAACACTAGTTCACCTCAGCATACCAACAGCTCCCTAAGCCTGTACCTCTCCAGGATTCTTGGACTTTTCTCCTCTCTAAAAATTTCCTTTTACTCCCCAAATCCTCCTTCCAATGCACTGATTTAATCCCAAAGTACCTACTCCCAAAGTACCAAGTCATGTCTGTCCATTCATTACACCACAGAGTGAACAAGTCATCACTGATAACTTAGAAAAAAAATTTAAGCTGGGTCTCCTGAACCAGAAATACATAGGGGACAAGCAGAATATTTTAGGTCCCTTCCATATCTGGGTCTAATTGTCTCATTCTCAGGAAACTGACTTGACTGTGGTCATCCTGCCAACTCGTGCTAGAGTCCAGTCCAGAATCCGACTGCTTCCTCTTACACTCTTCTACTTCTGTCTTAGTTTTCCACCCCAATACTCACAATCAGCTCGATACTGCCATCTGATGTGGCGTAATCTTCCATTACCGTAGCTTCAAAGCCCAAGTTCTCAACAAGCTGGGCTATTTCAAGGGGCTGGATGGTTTGTGGATTATACTTGACCTCAGCTTTTCCAGCCATCAGAGCCACCAGAACTGAAAGTATACCTGAAACCATAAGAAGAACGTTTTGTGGCTTGCACTAAGCAAGGTTCCTTGGAACAGCATGCAGAGTACATTGAAAAGTGAAAAAAGTCTCCTTTAGACCATGGGATACCATACCAGTGGGATATGGTCATATACACTATATACCCCCAAACAGGAAATCCCATCTATCAGCCACCATTTTACAAAAGGGATACTACTTTATTAGATGCTTGTAAAAAAGAAAGAATTCCCCTCCAAAGCAGTAACCACAAATATTTTCAATCCATAGCCTGCTTCAGTGAGATTAACAAGGCTGTGGACTATCTACCCCACCTGCTTCCACTTGCCACCACAAAATACCTTGTCCAAATTAGGAGAAAGGACTACATGCCTTTTAAAGAAATGCCAAGGAAGAATATCAAGAAAGGATTCACAGAGCGCACAAAAGTATGGTCTTATCATAAATTAATTTAACCTGTGGACAATATATAATGAGGCCCTTTTCAGACTACTTTTTTAAGGACTATTGTTCTAGGATATCAGGAAAACAGAGACTATGGTGAACAAAGGACTGGGAAGAGGTTCTTCGTCTTAAGAAATGGGGAACCCGCAAGAAGAAAGGGACCTGAGAGAAAATGGAGTTGTATGATGCCATAAGATAAATAAGGCCTGAAAGGGAAAAAGCTACAATGCCAGAAGGACTGAACATGAAAAAAAGACACCAAGGAAGAGGAAAAGCTCTGTGTTGGGGGAATACCCTTTTTCCTTGCCTAATTTATACAAAGCTGTATTTTACATCCCAAATAAATGAAATATCAAAGATCAGAAAATGGGCAAGGAACCGATTATCCAAGAAGATTAGGCAAACTTTTATACTAATCAGAGAAAAACCTCCTACCAAGTTATTAGATAACAGACAAGCAGCAAATGGTGGCACTAAAGGGAGACAATGGTTGCCCTATTTCAATGATTTCTTAAGCTATTCCAATATAGAACACATGATAAATTTCACGGATTCTATACTGGAGATAATTCAAGGTTTATGTCTCTCACCATCTTCCTTCAGTAGATTTCTTTCTATGTTGGAGACACAGGATGCACAGGTCATGCCTGTTATGCGTAAAAAGCATTTCTCCGAGGTCACTGCCTTAGGGTGAACTGGGTATCCTGAGGGAGAGTGGCCCAAGATGTTTGCTTTGTGATACCCCTTCGCATCAGCTTCTTCCTCCTGAAGACAAACTGAGTCCTTAAGCTCTGTTTGGGCATCCGAATCCACAGCACAACAGCTTCCAACATGCTTTCTGGAACTGGTCTCTATATTTTTTTTAGAAAGGAAAAAGACATAGTTCAAATTAGAGAATCAAATTATTTCTTCCACAAAAATAAGAGCAAAAATCTGATAGCATTGTAATCTGAGCCTGAGAGACCATACTGGACTTTCTCCACTCTTTTCTTCCCTACTCTCCCAACACATACAGAAAAGCCTCAGACCACTAAAACGGTTAATGGATGGAGCATTCTGGCTACCCGAATGCACTGGTTAGTCAGCCAACAAGCATCTAAGTGCCTACTACGTGCCAGGCAATATGCTAAGCACTGAAGAATATAAGTAAAGGCAAGAACGTCCCTTGCTCTTGAGAAGTTCACAGTCTAGGAGGAGGGACAACATGCCATCAATTAGGCATAAACAAAATACATACAAATTGGAGACAAGCTTAAAGGGAAGGCACTAAGATTAATGAAGCCTGGGAAAGGTTTCTTGGCAGAAGGGTGGGATTTCAGCTGAGACTTGAAGGAAGCCAGGGAGGTCAGGAGGTGTAAGAGTTCCAGGCAGAGGGACAACCAGTGCTGGTTAGCAGAGGCTTGATCAAAAAACCATTTTGTTTCGACCTCCACATTCTAAAAATGTCGACTTACCTTTCTTAAATATAGTGCCATGAATATAATTTAATCTTTCTTTGATAAATAAGGACACATATACTCTAAGAGCCTCTAATCTAAATATTAGCCATCCTGTGGGTGATGAATATCAGCTACATAGACTACAGATATAAAAGATACAAGAATTATAGAAATTATAGAAGACATAAAAGATACAAGAAATTATAGAAATTCAGGGTTGGAAGAGATCTGCCCAATCTCACCTCCCCCCGCCCCCAAAAGAGAATCTCCACTCCACCTGTGAGGCAAATGGGTTGAAATTGTACTGACCCTAGCCATAAACTAGTGGCTTCTTTTTAATCAGTCCCTAATAATAATGTTTTCTGTCATTGGAAAGCAGTGTGGCATAGTGGAAAGGGTTCTGGGGCAAAGGACAGGGGTTCAAATCTCACCTCTGATGCTGTATGTCACCTTGGACAAGTCTCTAGGTATTAGTTTCCTCAACCGCAAAAGGAGGGGATTGGCCTAAATGAGAAGGCTCTTTAGAGAAATCCTTTCTAACCTTAGAGAGGTCCCTTCTAGTTTTAAATCTATGATCCCCAGGATTTGACTCTTTTCCCTAAAAGTAGTATGATGAAACAAAACAAATGTCAGGTCTTTTAGGCTTCCTTTTCACACTGGAATTTATGGAAAACTCTGACCTCAGCTGTTTCACCCCCTCAACTCAAATAACCTTCACCTTGACTTCAGAGACTCCGGCTATCAGAACTGTTCTGAATTCCACCTCTTCCGCAATCCATCACTTTGACAGCAGCAATCAGGTGACTACCAGGACCTAAGTCCCCCAACACAGAAAGGAAGGCCCCATTCTGTAACGCCCGGTTCCTTCCTTCATAAAGAATGTCACTTATCAGATATTCAAAGAGCACCTTGTCTTTAAATATTTGCTTACTGCTAATGGCAGTGGTCAGTCGCAGCAAGGACAAAAAGAGACTCTTTTCACTTTGCTCGACAGCATTGCTCAATCTCTTTCTTTCAGGTCAGCTGCTTGACATAGCTCCCTAGGATGGGCAGCATGGGGGAACAGACGGGGGCCAGACTGGGAGTCAGGTGCACTGGTTTTTAAATCCTCCCCTCTAACATTTGCTAGCTCCTGCCTATTGTTTAGCGCTGCTAGAGAAAAATCAGCCAGGTTCACGGTGGATTCGTGGTACAAAGCCTTGATGGGGAACCTTTCAAGTCTACCCATCTCAACTACCTTGTTTCTTCTCTACAGAACCAATTCCCAACTTCCCAATTCTTCTCTTATCTCACTATCAGTCCCACCCACAGGCTAATGACTTGGCCTCTTCCTACAATGGGGCTATGCTTCAAAATCTGTTGACCTACTCTGGTAGGAGTCTCCTTATTTGGAAGTTCCCTATACCAATTAAATCACAGGTCCAGTCCCCAGGCCCATCATACTTTTCGAGCTTTCAAGGCACTAAAATATAGCCAGATATTTTTCAGATGAACTATTATCTAGCCACAATTATCCCATCCTGAATCTAGGAACTTTTTTTCAACCCAAATATAAGATTTTGTATTTATCCCAATTACACTTTTATCATTTATCATTCAGCCCACTGTTCTAGCCTGTCAAGACCTCTTTGGATTCAAAATCTGCCATCCAAGCCACTGGCTATCCTAGCCATCATTGTATCAGCTTCCAAATAACAGCTAATTACCCAGGTGTCACTGATGAAGGATTTAAAATCCCATATCAACAGTTATGTGTTGACTTCATGCTATACTTCTTTCCTGTTAAAACAGGATTAACCGTTCTCTTTTGTTTTCCTTATTGATTTCTTTTTTTTAAAAAAAAGATCTCCTTCCTGAAACTAGGTGAAGTACAGAATGTAACCAAAACAACATATGTGATGTACACATTCTATGCAGGTAACTAAGCGTGAACTAAGCGTGTGTACAGGGCAGAACATGATTACTGTTGCTATTCCTCTACTCCTCTTAGTCGTCCTCGTCCTCGTCCTCCTCTAACTAGCTAGCTAGCATTTATATAACATCATAAGGTGTGCTTAAGCACTTTACAAATATTAGCTCATTTTATCCTCAAAATAACCCTGGGAGGTGGGTGCCATTATCCTCATTTTACAGATGAGGAAACTGAAACTGAGAAAGGTTAAGTGATTTGCTCAGGGTCACACAGCTAGTAAGTGTCCGAGGACTCATTTGAACTCTGATTGAACACACCAACTGCACCACCCAGCTGCCTTGCTATAGTCCTAAAAGAAAAAAAGCTTCCAACAAAATCAGACTCCTGTCCAAGAAGCTATAACAAACTGGAAAAGGGACTAAAAAATTTCAGTTGGTCCAGTTTGCTGTAAGTGATCCTAACATCATCTGGGCAGTAAAAGCAGTGCTTTGAAGTCCTAACCTCACACTTTACGCAGACGAAGCCAGACATACTTCCTAGAGTTTTAGCTGGCTCATTTCTAGAATAGACACACATCTTCTATCTCAGGATACAGGCTGGTGTTTTTGTAAAGGCCTTTAATACTTAATTGCCACCTCTCTTAACATATAAAATGTGAAACATGCAAACCAAAAGGATTCTGATGGGAACAATCACTCACCCTCACATTTTACAGCACTCTGCATGACTTAGTGTGCACTTTCTTCACAGCTCCATGAGGGCTGTAATGAGAGCATTGCTAGCTCCATTTTATGGGGGGGGGGGAATTTGTTCACAGAGAAGTGAAGGGACTTGCCCCAAGGCTGGCAAGTGACAGACCTGGGGCTCAAACTCAGGCCTTCCAAGTCCCTGTCCAGAGCTCTTTCCACTATGTCAGGCAGTATCTCCAAACAAATATTACCCATAAGCATGTGCCACAATTTTGATGCAAAGAAAATGAAGCACAGGACTGAATCTCAGCCAGATTAATTATGTACCAATCAAAATTATATTTAACACCTCCTTCTAACCCAGGCAGTGAGGAGGTATTTGCCCCCAGTCCACATTTTTACTTCTCGTGTTTTGCTGATGGGGCAAGGAGGGAACACCAGTGACCTGCAACTCTGGAAATTCAGTCTGGCATCATGAAAAATATGTGAAGTCGAATTTTTGCAGGTGGTCCACAAAGGGATATTTTTCCGTCCACATGCCCACCATAAGGCAAATCACTACAGGGATGACATAAGCTAAGGAGACAGAATTCCAACCACGAGATGTGTGTTTGAATCCTGGCTCTGCTGTTAGTGAGTTGTATGATCTTGCAAAAGTAGCAACTTCAGCAGGTTCAAGATTCCTTATGTGGAAAATTTGTATCTACACTGCTTATCAACTAAGGTTTTGTTGTGAGGATCAAATGAGATAATATGCATGGTATGCTTTGTAACCATAAAGTGTCATAGAAATGTAAACTATTACTAAATTTGGAAGTGTACAAGGGACAGAAGGCAAATTCAATTAAGTCAGTCTTTATTTTTATCACTGCTTTGAAGCGAGCAATTTTACAGGAGTTCAGACTTAGTGCCTTTACAACAGACAGTAGAAGAAAATGCGGATGACTAAGTTGTCCACTTGACTGATAAAGGTCAAAAAAGGACATGGCCCTTCTTTCCTCCTTACATTTAGGGGCCCTGGCTATGGCATTCAACTTCCTATGAAGTCATCAGAAATCAAAATACTGATCCATCTACCAATTATTTTGGAAAAAGGAAATGGAATGATCTCTAGGGGACTGACCTAAAAATGAGACTAATAGTGTCACAGATTCAAGGCTAGAAGGGACCCTTAGAGGTCATCTAGCCCAATTCTCTTATTTTCTAAATGAAGAACTGAGACCCAAAGCAGTTAAGTGGTTTTCCCAGGACAATAAAAATAGTAAATGATTGACCTGAGATTCGAACCCAGGTCCCTTTGATTCCAAATTCAGCATCCTTTCCACTGTAACATGTTCCCTCTAAGCATGATTGTCATGGAGGTTAAAACTAAAAAGTTGGAAAATCCATTTCCTCTATCCTGATTTTACTTTCTTCCTCTGAAAACATAAATAAAACTTTACTCTGAGATATTATCTGAAAAAAAAGACACAGTTTTAAAAATATTCTACAAGCCTCTGTGGCAAAGACAGTTTGTTTGGAATGAATTGGAGTCCAAAGCAATCAAACAAGACATAGCTGCCTTAAGGAATAAAAAAATGTCAAAGGGCCTTATTGTGTTCATCTTTGGTATCCACTGCCATAATATGAAGATGAGAATTTTACTTGGCTATTGGGAAGAATATGAATTCATTCAGTCACTCAGTGCAAAAGAGAAGACTGCTTTACTGTTATTCCATAAGAAAATGAGCCACCTGTCAAACCATACTATGTTATTAGATAAAGAGAGAAAAAGAGAAGACAGCTGACAAGGAAAGTACCAGATATTAAATACATACCAGTTATGAGGAATGCCCCAAATCCCATGTCTTCAATTGCAGCTTTCAGCTCTTCAGGGCTTATTTTGGAGGCATTATAGTGGATAGTTCCAATCCCTTCAGCTAAAGAGACTGAAATTTTTCCTAGCCCTTCCCTTTGGGATAGTAGATTCTCGATGGACTGCACACAGGAAACACAGGTCATTCCCTCAATGCCAATCATAGCAGTACTCCACACTCCCTGCACTTGGGTTCCGTGGGATTGTGTAGGTAGAGGAAGTCTTGAAGACATGCTGTCTAATGAATTCTCCAACCCACTGCCTTCCACTCCATTAGGGAGAGTGACTTTAAAATTCCCAGGTGGAAGAGCCTCAATGGCTTCCTTCAAGAATAGTGGGGTAACAGAGGCTGGATCAAATTGAACATCTGCATTTTTGTTTTCCAGAGATACTTTAATGCTTTGCACACCCGGTAGTGCAGCTATATTTCCTTCAATATTCAAGACACAGGATTTGCAGTGCATTCCTTCCACTCCTAACTGTAGACTAGCAGCTGGGCTGGGCTGGCCCCCCCATGCTTCAGTATTACTACAGGGGAGTTGAGCTGGCATTTTCTTTGAGTTGCTGCTTTGTAACCGTCCAATATCAATCATTCCCAGGCTTAATGGTGCCATTTTGCTCTTGATGGTGGCTTCAAATCCCATGTCATTGATATGGTCCCTGAGGTCTCCAGGTTGAATGATACAAGGCTGATAAGTGATGACAGCCTCTTGATTGCTAAGGGAGACTTTGATTTTCAGAACTCCTTGAAGTTTTCCAACCTTCCCTTCTATAGTATTGACACATGAGTGGCAAGTCATGCCCTCCACACGAAGCTTTGTCACTGCTTCCTCAGCAGATGAGGGTTTTGTGGGCCATGGCTCAGCCTTTCCTTCTGCTATGTTAACATCAAAGCCCATATCCCCAATTTCATAGCAAATCTGTTGTAGGTTTATGGTCAGTGGTATGTATTTCACAATGGCATTACTCTGTTCAAGGGAAACTTTTATGCTCATAATACCTTTCAAGTTAGAAATCTTGCCCTCTATAGACTTCACACATGATTGGCATGTCATGCCCAAAATGTTGATCATACTAGTGCTTGTTGAAGACGATGACATAGGTGAACTATCCAAGCTGCCTTCAAAGCCTATGTTGTCAAAAGCAAATTCCTGCTTTATTGAGAATTCTTGAGCAGAAGCAGCAGAGGAAACTTTAGATAGCATCTAAAGGAAGAAAAGACATCTTTAGAATTCAAAACTAGCAATATTACTTACTCCCAGAGACATTCCAGGTTCTCTGGCACATAAGGAAGAAAGATAGCATCATGTAATATCCACAAAATAAAAAAGAAAGAAGTTAAGGAGGTGAATTAAATTCTGGGAAAGTTAGATATGATAGATCTCTAGAGAAAATTGAATGGCAATAGAAAGGAATATACCTTTTTCTCAGCAGTATATAGCACCTACACAAAAAAGTGACCATGTGTTAGGACATTAAAAACCTCACAACCAAATGTAGAAAAGCAGAAATAGTAAATGTATCCCTTTCAGATCATAATGCAATAAAAATTACATTCAACAATGGAAAGAAAGATTAAAAATTAATTGGAAATTAAATAATCTAATCCTAAAAAACAAGTGAGTCAAAGAACAAATCATAGAAACAATTAATAATTTCATCAAAGAAAATGACAATAACAAGACAATCTACCAAAATTTATGAGATGTAGCCAAGGCAGTACTTGGGGGAAAATTTATATCTCTAATTGCTTATATCAATAAAATAGACAAAAGGCAGATCAGTGAATTGAGCATGCAACTAAAAAAACTAGAAAAAGGCTAAGTTAAAAATCCTTAATTAAACACCAAATTGGAAATTCTGAAAATCAAAGGAGAGATTAATGAAATTTAAAGTAAGAAACCATTGAACTAATATATGAAACTAGAAGCTGGTTTTATGGGGAAAAAAACAATAAAATAGATAAACCACTGGTTAATTTGATTTAAAAAAAGGAAAGAAGAAAACCAAATTACTAGTATCAAAAATGAAAGGCGTGAATTCACCACCAACAAAGAGGAAATTAAGACAATTGTTAGGAGCTATTTTACTCAATTATACACCAAAAAATTTGATAATCTAAATGAAATGGACAAATGTGTACAAAAATATAAATTACCCGGATAAACAGAAGAAAAAAAAATTAAATAACCCAATCTTAGAAAAAGAAATCAAATAAGCCATCAATGAAATTCCTCAGGAAAATCCCCAGGACCAGATGGATTCACAAGCAAATTTTACCAAACATTTAAAGAATAATTAATTCTAGTACCATATAAACTACTTGGAAAAATAAGTGAAGAAGGGGTTCTACCACATTCCTTTTATGACATAAAAATGATGCTGATACCCAAATCAGGAAGGGCCAAAACAGAGAAAGAAAATTATAGAACAATTTCTCTATTGAATATTGATGCAAAGATTTTAAATAAAATACTAACAAAGATTACAGCAATACATCACAAGGATCATATACTATGACCAGGTAGGATTCACATCAGGAATGCAGGGCTGGTTCATTGTTAGGAAAATATGTGATTATCTCAATAGATGCTGAAAAAGCCTTTGACAAAATACAGCACCCACTGCTCTTAAAAACACCAGAGAGCTTAGGAATAAATGAAGTTTACCTCAAAATGATAAGTGATACTTATCTAAAATCATCAGCAAGTATTATCTGTAATGGGGATAAGCTAGAAGTTTTGCCAATACAATCACGGGTGAAGCAAGGATGCCCATATCACTTCTATTATTTAATATGGTACTAGAAATGTTAGCTATAGCAATAAGAAAAGAAAAAGAAAATAAAGGAATTAGAATAGGCAATGAGGAAACAAAACTATCACTCTTTGCAGATGATATATTATACTTAGAACATCAACTAAAAAAACTACTTGAAATTATCAACAACTTTAGCAAAGTTGCAGGATACAAAATAAACCCACGAAAATGATCACCATTTCTATATATTACCAACAAAGCCCAGCAGCAAGAGATAGAGAAATTTCATTTCAAATAATGGTAGACAATATAAAATACCTGGGAGTCTACCTGCCAAGACAAACCCAGAACATAACTATAAAACACTTTACACACAAATAAAATCAGATCTAAACAATTAGAAAAATATTAATTGTTCATGAGTAGGCCAAGCCAATATAATAAAAACGACAATTCTACCTAAATTAATCTATGGATTCAGGGTCACACCAATCAAATCATCAAAAACCTTATTTTATGAAGCAAGAAAAAATAATAACAAAATTCATCTGGAAGAACAAAAGCTCAAGGATTCAAGGGAATAAATGGGAAAAAACATGCGAAAGAAGGTGGTCTAGCCATACCAGATCTCAAACTGTATTATAAAGGGGTGATTATCAAAACAATTTGGTGCTGGCTAAGAAATAAGAGTGGTGGATCAGTGGAATATATTAAGTACACATTACATTGTAGCAAATGGCCATAGTAATCTAGTATATGATAAACCCAAAGATTCAAGCTTTTGGAACAAAAACTCATTATTTGACAAAAATTGTTGGGAAAACTGGAAAACAGTATGGCAGAAACTAGGTATAGACCAACATCTCATACCATACACCAAGATAAAGTCAAAATGGGTACATGATTTATATATAAAGGGTGATATCATAAGCAAATTAGCAGAGCATGAAATAGTTTACCTGTGAAATTTATGGATAAGGGAAGAATTTGGGGCCAAAGAAGATATAGAAAACATTACAAAATGTAAAATAGATAATTTTGATTATATAAAATTAAAAAGTTGTTGCACAAACAAAACCAATGCAACCAAATTTATAAGGAAAGCAAAAAACTAGGGGAAATTTTTTACAAGTATTTCTGATAAAGGCCTCATTTCTCAATCAAAAAATACAAGTCATTCTCCAATTGATAAATGGTCAAAGAACTTGAACAGCCAATTTTCAGACACAGAAATCAAAGCTATCTATAGTCATATGAAAAAATGCTCTAAATCACTATTGATCAGAAAATGCAAATTAAAACAACTCTGAGGTACCACCTCACTCCTATCAGAGTGGCTAATATGACAAAAAAGGAAAATGTTGGGTTTTAGAGGGGACGTGGGAAAAATAGGACACTAAAGCATTGTTGATGGAGTTGTGAATTGATCCAAACTTTCTAGAGAGCAATTTGGAACTATGCCCAAAGGCCTATAAAACTGTGCATACCTTTTGATCTAACAATACCACTGCTAGGTCTATATTCCAAAGACATTCAAAAAAAAGGGAAAAGAACCTACTTGTACAAAAATATTCACAGCAGCTCTTTTTGTGGTGGCTAAAAATTGGAAATCAAAGCGATGCCCATCAATTGGGAATGGCTAAACAATCTGTGGTGTATGATTGTAATGGAATATTATTGTGCTATAAGAAAGGACATGCAGGATGACTTCAGAAAAACCTAGAAAGACTTACATGAACTGATACATAGTAAAGTGAACGGAACTAGGTGAACATCGTACACAGTAACAGCAATATTGTGTACAATGAAGAACTGTGGGGCTTAACTATTCTCAGCCATACAATGATCCAAAATAATCCCAGATGACTAATGATGAATACTATCTGCCTCCAGAGAAAGAACTGATATTGATTGAATAGACTGAAGCATGCTATTTTTCACTTTTTCTTTCTTTTTTTATTCGAGTCTTCCTGTACAAAATGACTAATAGGGAAATGTTTTATGTAACTACACACGTATAATAAGCACATGATTGCTTACCATCTCAGGGAGGGGGAAAGGGAGGTAGGGAGGGAAGGACAGAATTTGGAACTCAAAACTTTAGATAAAGATATTTTTAAACTTGGGGGGGGGGAATTCTCCATAGTATAAGTACAGGAACGTGGTTAATTTATTTTTTCAGTTTACAAGGCTGCCTCAGCTGTGCCAAAAAGACTTAAATGAAATATATTCCTTTCAGCTGCTCTCTGTTTCTTTGCTCTCTTACTACTATTTCTTTAAACTAACTCATTAGCAGTTGAGTTTGAAGGTCCAATATAGTTCTTAAGACAGCAAGCATTATTACAGCGGTTCACCTAAAGTCCTCTTCAAAGGCAAGTGTTATGTAAAACAATATATAAATGTGAGTTATCAATACTATTGTTAACCTATGCCGAAAAGTCTTCCTTTGATGATGTACCATAGCATGGAAGTGATGTTCATAGAATGTGAGTTCTATTGTTGTAAGCACAGACCCAGAGATAGACTGTCATCTAAGGACCAGTCTCCCTAAATTCCTAAATTCAGAGGCTCATTACCAGAAGATGGGCTAATGAATGATGAATTTTTTTTTCAGTCATAATAGCTCATAAAGACTACCACCTAAGGAAAGTGTTGCCATTTACATTAATGGAAGGAGTGTCCCAAAGAAGTTACAGATAACCTAAAGTAATGAATGGAGTACAAGACCCAGAATTTTAGGACTAGAACTTCTTGTTCTTCATAGCATACTTTTTTCTTTCTCTAATATAATCTTAATGGATATTTTAAAAATAACATTTTCTTGATTTTTAAAAATATTACATTTCCCAGTCTATTTTTTTTTCTATACTTCTCCTCCCAGAGACTTATCCTATCACAAAAAGTAAAGGGATAAAGAGAGAATGGACATGTGATTGCACTGCTAGAGGTAATCTCCAGATGAGAAACTCTCTTTAGCAATGCATGCACCTTCTGCATCTTCTCTGCAGCTTCTAGTCTTACAGAGTGGCCCGGAACACTGAGAGATAAAGTGACATGGTCACAGTGAATATGTATCAGAGACAGGACTTGAAGCTTAGAATGAAAAGGAAGTCCAGCAAAACAAGCCAATACATACAACAAGTCTAACATGGCATTCTATATTTCCCCACCTCTGCAAAGAAAGGAGGGAAGAGTATTTTTTCATATCTCTTCTCTGGGGCCGAGTTTGGTCACTGTAATTTCACAACAGTCAGCTTCAAATGTTTCTATTTAATAAGAATAGGAATCCTAGTAACAGTGGTAGCTGTTCTTTCACATACTTTGATGTCTTTATTTTTGAGGGGGAAGATTATAATCATCTCTGAAGACAGAGAATATTATATTTGTTATGATAAACACATAGGAAATCATGAACTGAGTAAAATATTATTAATAACACACTATA